ATATATATATATATATATATATATACATATATATTTTTTTTTTATCACGATGATTACTTAGAAGTATTACTTATAAGTTCTGAAATTAGTTCATCAGTTCTGACAACGAATGATGTTGGAAATGAATCGATGTAATTATGTTTTAGGGAGGGCAACGACCCGGACGACTATTCGCGACTGACATACAGAAAATTATTGGAGGAAGTATGCAGATTTGCGAATGTTTTGAAATCCAAAGGAGTGACGAAAGGGGATCGTGTTGCAATTTATATGCCTATGATCCTGGAATTGCCGATTGCTATGCTCGCTTGTACCAGAATTGGTGCTGTTCACAGTGTAGTGGTAAAGAACTGTTTTTTTTTAATGCTGCAAGAATTATGGTGTCCGTGATATATATATCACAGACACCATAATTCTTTATATCTATATATTATTAATATATCTATATTAATATTATATAGTTAATAGTTAATTATATAATTGATATATAAGATAATTAATATATCTATATATTATATATGTAGATAAAAACTATTTTTTTTTTGTAAAATGAAAAATATCATGACACGATATATCATTATATAGCATTATTTCCTTTTTACATAACATAGATTTAATATAAAATTTAATATATAAAATTCTTCAATGTCTTTGTCTGCATTGACATATTTGCTTTTAATAAGTCAACAACCATTAAAATATTCTAAATATGAATTCTAGATAACTAAATAATTAAAAACTAAATAAAATAATAAATAATATTTATTTAGCTTCATAGTAATGTTATATTTCTTTTTCTTTTTATATTTTTTATGAAATATATATAGAAACCATATCAGCATTATGTAAGCAATACTAGCAATAATCTTCTTCACTTTCTCTTAAGTTCAAGGTAATTGATAGATATCTCAAGATCTCACAGATAACACGACTATGTTATTGGACAGCGACTTAAGCAATTGAATACTTATTGTTATTTAATACTAATATATAAAGCAATAAATGAGCAAAAGATAAGAAAAATTACAATACTGTAATTAGTGCTATTAATTATCTAATTGCAAGTTTTCTTACATTTTGTTTATATGTTTTTTCGTAGATAGAAGTTAAAGAAAAATGAAATCAATAAAGCTATGATTCAGATTATAGTCATACGTAGTACATTGATGAGTCAGAATTCAAGATTATTTCTGTATATTATATGTACGACTGTAATAATATACAAAAACATATAATATATATTATAATATATTCAATTATTTTTGTATATTATATGTTTAGATAGTAAATTAAACATTATATTATTATATACAATATGTACATATACTACTTTATTCTTGTATTAAAATTTATTTTTAATTTTGATAAATTTGTATAAATATATGAAGAAAATATGAATATAAAAAATATTAATAAAACTAATAAAAGTCAAAAAATCAATAAAAGAAGTATGTGACTTTTAAATAATATATTAAATATTTCTATATTGTATATTCAATTAGTTTGGAGGATACTCATCGGACTCGCTGGCAGAACGTATCATGGACTCGAAAGCGAAAGTTTTGATTACGACTGACGGTGTATGGAGAGGCGAGAAGCTTCTAATTTTGAAAACTATCTGCGACGAGGCTTTGAAAAAAGTCAAGAAAAACAGTCACGAGGTTGAGTGTTGTATAGTAGTTGCACATTTGCGAAGACTAAGTAGTCCTCAGGGTGCAAAGTCAAACTCAACAGGTATGTTATAAAAAAGGACTTTCATTTGAAAATCGAGATATAAATGTAGCCAAAAAATGCAAAGAAGGAAGAAAGAGACAAATGAAAGAGTAGAAAGTAATTTTTTGATTAATTTATAATTTATCTTTTTGAATTTGCATTGAAGGAAAAACGAATGGTGTGAATGGTACAAATGATAATGGCTTCGACATTCCTGAAGTTCCATGGGATGATGATCGTGATTGTTGGTGGCATGACGAAATGGAAGATGCTGAAGACAAGTGTTATCCAGTCTGGATGAATGCGGAAGACCCACTTTTTATTTTATACACAAGGTAAATTTCTTAATAAAAGAGTGTATGAGTGAATTATTGTTTTCATATGAGTAACTTCGAAATGTCTTTGTTTATATAGTGGTTCTACAGGAAAACCAAAAGGTGTTCTACATACCACGGCCGGATATCTAATCTATGCAGCCACGACGTTCAAATATGTATTTGATTATCATCCCAGTGATGTGTATTGGTGTACAGCCGACGTTGGTTGGATCACTGGTCATACTTATGTTGTGTACGGTCCATTGGCAAATGGAGCTACTTCTATTATTGTAAATTTGGAGATATTTTATTCTTTATTCAAAGTGTCTACTATGTAATAAGTTTGTCTTAATAAATTTTTGATTTATAGTTCGAAGGTACACCGTTTTATCCAGGAAACGATCGATACTGGGCAGTCATCGATAAATATAAAGTCACGCAATTTTATACTGCACCGACTGCAATTAGATCGCTTATGAAATTTGGAGATGATTTAGTAAAGAAGTATGATTTGTCTACTTTGAAGGTATGTTAAAATAATAAAAGAAAACTTAAGATGTATACGATATAATACAAGGAGGATTCAGTTTGAGAAATTATTTATTGTTTTAGGTTTTGGGTTCGGTTGGAGAGCCAATAAATGCTGAAGCATGGCTGTGGTTTTACAATCTCATAGGTCATGGAAAATGCAGTATATCGGATACATTTTGGCAAACGGAAACTGGTGGCCATGTGATCACTCCACTTCCTGGTGCTACGCCAATGAAACCAGGTGCTGCAGTAAGTTTCTGTTTTATCTCTTACTATCAAATTAGTGAAATATGTAATTGATTTATTTAATGCTTTTTTTTTGCTAGTCGTTTCCATTCTTTGGCGTTTTACCAGAAATTCTGGATGAAGATGGTCATTTGGTCGAAGGTGAAGGTGAAGGATATCTCGTTTTCCGTCAACCGTGGCCGGGAATGATGAGGACTCTCTATGGAAATCATCAACGTTTCCAAAGCACATATTTCGATAAATTTCATGGATATTATTGTACAGGAGACGGTAAGTTAAATAATTTTAAATTAGATTAACTTCAGAAGGGTTAGAGTTTTAGAGTAGAGAATTATTTAGCCAAAGGATTTCTATAATTGAGACCAGCATATTTCGCATCTTTCCCGAGTTCTTCTTCGATTCTCAATATTTGATTATATTTAGCAGTTCTTTCGCTCCTGCAAGGTGCTCCAGCTTTAAATTGACCAGCAGATAATCCTACAGCCAAATCAGCCACAAAATTGTCTTCAGTTTCTCCTTCACAAGCTGTTACGATATATCCCCAATTACTGATTCTCGCTATTTTTGCGCAGTTGATCGCCTCTGTTACGGTTCCAACTTGTGACATTCTTAATATCATAGCATTGGCCATTTGTCTGTCAATTGCTTCCTCGATTCTATCAATATTCATCGCAGTTAAGTCGTCAGAAACAATTTGAATATCTTGATCGGCCAATGTCAACCAACCCTCCCAGTCTTCATGATCGAATGGATCTTCGATCGAGACGAGAGATGGATATTCTGTAAAATACTCTAAGTATTGATCCTTTAATGCGTCTGCTTCCATATATTCATCAGGATCAGACTCTTCTGTTTTAAATGCTAAATCGTATCCCCCTATCGAAACAGAGATATATTGTTACTGGATTTAGGTTAATCTATTAAAGGAATTAAAGGAATTTTTTGAATGTTGTTAAGTTACAATTTAATAATGTATAATATGGTTTAGATTTTATGAATTAACCTTCTTTATAAAAAGCACTAGCTGCCATGTCTAACGCTATCTTAATTCTTCCTTCGTAACCAGCCTCTTTAATTGACTCGTCTATCAGTAACAAAGCTTCCTTATCCTCCTCAAGTTCTAAGGGCGTAAACGCGCCGTCGTCGCTAACTGGAAGGGGTAGATTAATTTCTTGAGCAGCTGCGATTTTCTGTTCGAGTACTCTGTACACTTCCATGCCCATTTTCATAGCATCAGCGAAACTTTCAGCTCCTGATATGTTTGTAAAATTAAAACTATGTACAAATAAGATATAGTCTAAAGAATATAAGAATACCTATGGGTAAGATCATAAATTCTTGGCATGGCAATGTGTTATTAGCATGCCTGCCTCCGCTGATCATGTTGAAACAAGGAACAGGTATATAAAGTTCTCCGTTTTCAGCTAATTCTGCAATGTATCTGCAAAGATGAAAATCAAGTGAAAAGATTGCATTGGGACATTTAATTACAGAAAAATAATGAAAGCGATATTTTTTAGAATCCACAATGTTAAACTATGGCTGATTATCATATTACCTATAAACCGGAAGTCCTTTCTTCGCAGCACCAGCTTTACAGCAAGCGATGGAGACACCAAGAATTGCGTTTGCACCTAATTTAGATTTATTCTCGGTTCCGTCTAGACGATTTAGCAAACTGTCTATCTCCATTTGTTGGCAAGCCTCCAGCCTTGATTTCAAAAGTTGTGGTGCTATTATGTTATTGACTACGTCAACGGCTCTGAATACTGAACGTCCATGGTACATGGCTTCATTGCCATCCCTTAGTTCTTGTGCTTGATTAGGGTTTGGTACTAAAACAGATGGTACTGAAGATCTTAACAGTCCAACGTCTGTGATTATGTCCACTTCCAAAGTCGGATCACCCCTGGAGTTGAAAATTTGACGAGCTTTAACCTTTTGAATAGGCATCCTGTATTTTCTTTCAAATTTGTTTCTAAATGATATTTAATTAAGGAGCGTTTGTCAAGAGGTATGATTTTAAATCGAAACGGAATTGGAAAGCTATTGACGTAGTTGCATGGTTTATTGCAAGTTGTTGCTATTGAGAATTTGTTAACGAAAGTTCTTTTTAATTAAACCATGATTGTAGCCATTTTTAGACTGAAACAATCGAAGTTTGATATGTGCATACTTCTTTTTCTTAATTGAAACAGACAGTAGTTTCATGTTACTTATTTGTGTGAAGTTATAATTTGTGAAGTTATAAATATGTACAAAAAAAATATTTATATATTTCTTTTAATTTTAGGCGCTAGGCGTGATACAGATGGTTATTTTTGGATAACTGGTCGCGTTGATGATATGTTGAATGTTTCTGGTCATCTTATGTCTACGGCAGAAGTAGAAAGTGTATTGACTGAACATTCTTCGGTAGCTGAAGCTGCAGTAGTTAGTAAGCCACATCCTGTAAAAGGACAATGCCTTTATTGCTTTATTACACCCAATGAGGGTGCCAAATTCGACAAGAAACTTCAAGATGAACTTAAAAAGAGAGGTAATTGAAAAGCATTTTAATTTCTAATTAATTTATTGCAAGTAAATATGTTAATATAAACGTATCATCAATAGTACGTGAACGAATCGGTCCCTTTGCTCAACCGGATGTTGTTCAACATGCACCAGGACTGCCAAAAACACGGTCAGGCAAGATTATGAGACGTATACTTAGAAAAATCGCAGCAGGAGATAGAAATGTCGGTGACATATCGACATTAGCCGATGAAAGCATCGTCAATGTGCTTTTCCAATTAAGGCCGCAAGTTTAAGTAAATTTTCGGCAATGTAACGACCTTCAATGGAAACGTAGTAATTTAGAAATGAATGATAACGACACGCTTCCGGTGATCGATTAAATAAATAAGACTTTCAAATTATAGCCATTGAAAAGAATAACATGAGAAGTTAATATAAAAATTCAGGGGAATGTGTAAAACTTGTTAAAATACAGGGAGAATAGTTTTTATTAACGGGGGAAAAATTGAACTCTGAATTAATATCTTTAGAACAAAATTTTACAAAACGTTACAACTTTCATTACATTAATAGTTATGATATTACTATATTTATGATACTATTTATGAATTATTTTATAGAAAATTATTGCGCAATAATTGTTACTGCTTTCAGTCGAATATCATCGTGGCATGTCTTGCTTGAAACAGAATATTTCATAAGTTTATTCATTATTTGAAGATGAAAAATTTAATTAAGCGGTTTGACTATTTTTTTTAATCAACATAAAATATGATTGCATAATATGAAGATGCGGAAAATGTTACGTAACTAAAGATAATCATCAAAAGTGTTTCAGACTCTTACTAAAGAACTAAAGTGATGCTAAAATTGACGATTTCTCAGAAATCGATTATAAATATATTAATTGTTGCATATCGATTGACTTCATAGCAGCAATATTTTTTGAATATAAGCGAATATCAAGAAATCGAATGACGCACGACAAATATTTATCATTGTTGAAAATTTTTATAATGTGCATTCTAATGATGTGCATGTTTAAACGATTTGTCTACATTGAACATGAAAGTATCTCAGCTTTTGAAAATTTTAATTCTAATTATATATTATATGTGTATATACTTGAACGATGGCGCCAGATTATGTTCTGACAGTATAATTTTAGAGAGATTTTACGATATGAGAGCTCAGTTCATTTTTATTTAAGAGCCTAGCTGGTTATAAATTTTCACCTTACTTTTGTTCAACTTGTCAAGTTTCAAACGACTTCCAATAATGACAACGCTAATAAAGGTTTCTAATTGCATTGTTTGAGCATCTTGTTAGCATGATTAAAAATACAACAACTGAAAGTACGAATGCGGTTACAAAAATATTGCAATCTGCGTAGTATTTAAAGTGCTGCAAAAATGTTTGCGAGTCCATTAGATATAGCGTAAGATTTTTTTGTCCATAATTCTCGATTTTCTTTAGATATACACGAATAAGTTAGCAAGGAAAAAGAAAAAGAATTACGAGAATATATAGAAACAAATTATTTAATTTTAGCAAACTATTTTTTTTACAATGATTTTCCGTTCCAGTATGGAAAAACGGAAGACCTAATCATACGCACGATCATTAACGCACTTTGTGAAAGGAAGTTGGCATTTTCTGTAAGTTACTAGAAGGCTGGTTTTATAATTGTTATACTATACGCAAGGTGGGTCAAACAAAACGTTGCCTCGTGTCCCTTGATAGGGGCATGTTACATACATATCATTCCTCGCGGAACAAATTAATTATAGGTGTGATGATGATATATATATATATATATATATATATATATATTTAAAAAGTATGTATATTATATGGAATAATGCAGAAAACATCTATATATGTAAATATATCTATGTTGAAGGACATAATTATTACTGATCTGTTAAGTGAAATTCTTGTACTTTATTTACTTCACCTTTTTCACTAGTCTCCAATCTTATCTAGCTTTTATCGAAACGGATCTTCTAGTTTTAAAAATAGCATTAGAATAAGAAATGAAGAGTTCAACATGCACCTCCTGTTTATTTATAATTATTTTCTATTGCGTTTATTTTATATTTATTTTATATCCCATAAACAATTTTTATTTAATATCTGATATCCAAATTTTGTTCTTAAAACTCAACTTAAGTTCGAAAGTTCTCGAAACGAAATAATTATGTTTTAGATATAGCTTTATCGGCCTTTAATATATTGAAAACACAATGTGACAAATATCTAACTCATAAAAAAGATCTAACAAATATCCAACTCATTAAATTCTCAAGCAAAATGTACTCATTTATTCTCGATGCGTTAGCGTCAAATAGCATACATATTTAATAAATTTCAGAACAAAACTTTCCTGTTATCGTGAAATCCTGATGTGAATCGAAATTTCTACGAATCGGGTCGCCACTGTCGCTTTCATTCGCGATTCAGTGACGGAGGAATGCTTTTTAAAACCAGCTGACAAGATGTTACGTCAGTTAGCCTGTAGCCGTTGCCATTGTACACACGACGTTGTTACTTGCGTCTGTTATGACAACATTCTGAACTCGTGTTTCTTCTCCGACTATTTGGTACATTTTCATAAATCATGTCCGACATCGATGAATATTACATAGCCGTCCTTCGATTAGTGAAGGAAGCTGGCTCGGTGAGTAACATTTTCTTTGATGAAATCGTACAACTTGTTTTGTGTATCAAGTTATTCCTGGCCGATCGTGGGCCAGGTTTTATCGATTTTG